CCCACACCATCACACCTCCTCCTCCATGCTTCACAGGGGGAACCACACATGAGGAGATCATCCGTTCACCTACTCTGCGTCTCACAAAGACACGGCGGTTGGAACCAAAAATCTCAAATCTGGACTAATCAAACCAAAAGGACAGATTTCCACCGGTCTAATGTCCATTGCTCGTGTTTCTTGGCCCAAGCATGTCTCTTCTTCTTATTGATGTCCTTTAGTAGTGGTTAGTAGTGGTTTCTTAGCAACAATTCGACCATGAAAGCCTGATTCATGCAGTCTCCTCTGAACAGTTGATGTTGAGATGTCTCTTACTTGAACTCTGTGAAGCATTAGTTTGGGCTGCAATCTGAGGAGCAGTTACCTCTAATTAACTTATACTCTGCAGCAGAGGTAACTCTGGGTTTTCCTTTCCTGTGGCGGTCCTCATGAGAGCCAGTTTCATCATAGCGCTTGATGGTTTTTGCGACTGCACTTGAAGAAACGTTCAAAATTCTTGAAATGTACCGTATTGACTGACCTTCATGTCTTTAAGTAATGATGGACTGTCGTTTCTCTTTGCTTATTTGAGCTGTTCTTGCCATAATATGGACTTGGTCTTTTACCAAATGGGACTATCTTCTGTATACCAACGCTACCTTGTCACAACACAACTGATTGGCTCAAACATATTAAGAATAAAATAAATTCCACAAATTAACTTTTAACAAGATACACCTGTTAATTGAAATGCATTCCAGGTGACTACCTCATGAAGCTGGTTGAGAGAATGCCAAGAGTGTGCAAAGCTGTCATCAAGGCAAAGGGTGGCTACTTTGAAGAATCTCAAATATAAAATATATTTTGATTTGTAAAAAAAAAAATGGATTACTACATGATTCCATATGTGTTATTTCATAGTTTCTACAATGTAGAAAACAGTACAAATAAAGAAAAACCCTTGAATGAGTAGGTGTTAAACTGTTTGACTGGTATTGTACATATTACCTCAATTACCTCAACTACATCGTACTCCTGCACATTGACTCGGTACCGATACTCCTTGTATATAGCTTTGTTAATGTTATTTTATTGCGTTACTATTTCCATTTTTTATGAAGCAAATATAATATATTTTTTATAACTCTGTATTTTTGGGAAAGAGCTCGTAAGTAAGCATTTCACAGTAGTCTACACCTTTTGTATTGGGCGCATGTGACAAATTAAATTTGGTTGGTTTTATCAGGCTTTTAGTGGTGCATATTCACACCAGTCCTCTACCCCAGTATTTCCCAATCTGGTTCCTGGGGACCCAAAGGGGTGCACTTTTTAGTTTTTAGCTATCATAAATACAGTACAATAAAATCAAACTCACCTGGGATTTAATTTCTATGATGTAGGCTACTATTGGATAACGCCTGCCTTTGTTTCCTCAGTCCATATTCCTATTTGAATAGTGCACTAGGCTGTGAGGAAAATAAGTTGTTCCAAAAAGGTGGCTATCATGTATCCCTTCTTAGCAATGGATGTCCTGGGGACATGTGGTTTCATGTGTTTATAAATGGGGACAAATACCCTATTCAAGATTCAAGTCAATTGGCTGCTACAGTATTGGTACAGGGTCACTAGTACTTACCTGTACAGTCCAAAAGAGGGAGCTACATCTTTCCATTTTCTTCTTCGGAGCAATTGTAATGCTTGGAGCCCCATATGACCATTGTTCTTCTGTGGCCAAAAATAAACTTATATTATTAGATTTATTTACCCAGTCAGAGCCTAGGCCTACTGCATGGAAAGAGCGGATCATGTCTTTTTTCACATTTAAAAAGGTTTAGCCAATTTTGCATGAGAATATTGAATAGTCCATATGTGTCTTTATCAGTGATGATCAATATGAAAATGTGTATGAAACAACCCTTAGCCTACATACCTCCATTACACCTCAACGTTTAGGCTAGCTCTGGTCGAGGGCATCAGTGCAAGTCCCTTAAGTGAAGAGAGAATTTGTGGTCGACATGCGATGGGGCCAGAGCTAGGCTACCTGTACGCCTTGATCACACCGATAGGGTCTATGCGCAAAATAGTATGCAGCATCAACTGGATGTGTGCAACAAAAGTTCAACGTTCACCTTCTGCTACCATTTCTGTCAAGCCGTCTACACGTACAGTTTGACGCATATGTTTGATAAATCCGAGGTATGCACCACACAGAACGCACTACAACTGTCTCGCAATGCTGCAAGGCAAACGCAGCGTTGAAATTGGAAATTAATTTACTTCTGGTGTACCAAAACGCAATGACACTGTCGGTGTGATCAAGGCGTTAGGCTATCCCCTGGCTGACTCGACTCACATGACTTCGAGTCAGGTGTTAGCAGAGAGGAAGAGAGCGTTCATGCCCGTCAAAATCTGACCACGCAGGAATACACCGATTCTGCTTTTCGGTCTGCTTAAAGGGGGGCTGTGTTCGCATTTGGCAAGCGTTTGTACATTGACTCTGCCAAAACAGTAAACAGTTACAGACATTCACCCTTCTACATAACAAGGTATTGTGCCTTAAAGTCTCTCCGCCCTAACAATGGGAATTGTTGTCCACAATGCAGCACGGCGGGCTGTCTAGCTCCCGCCTATCCTTTCTTTGGATTGGTGGATACATCTCCTTATTGTAATCCTTTTTTAAATATTCGATGAGGGTTGTTGACGTCAACAGCCTGTATTCAATGGAGAGAGATGCTATGCTACTAGCCTCATGCCATGAATATGCATAGCTATCTCGAGACAACTCCGATATAAAGTTTTCTCAAAGTTTATCGGGATGTCACGTGTCCTCCTTATATCAGTACACCTGTAACAACTTAAGCATTACGAAACTTCTATTCGATCAAATAAACCTCACGTAGAAAATAAGCCATTCCTTTTTTTTGTTGACTAAATTTGACACCCTCTTTGACCTCCATACAAAAACTTGGTGGATGAAACAATGAAAACACACCACCTGCTGGAGGGAAACAAATGTTCTGCTGAGTTGGGCCTCTCTCTTCCTCTTCCTCCCTAATGCTAGCCAACTTCATTCGCCAATTAGCTTCAGCTGGCTGGTGTGTGACTGTGGTAAAGTTGGTTTGACATTGGATAGTCTATCTCTGGGGCTAGTTAGGGACCGTCAATAAATTGCACAATGTAAATGGGACAATATTTCCATGTTGCACATCTTTTAGTTGTCTCATTAAATGATTTCAAAATGTGTATATGAATTTCTACAATTTCAGTATAGTTTGAAGTTTTTAAATTCAGAGCTATTGAAAATAAATTATATTGTCCCATGTACATTGTGTAATTTACTGATGGTCTCTAACTAGCCCCATAGGGATATGATCCAAAAACCAAATTGACCACGGGCATTACAATCGGGTAATGTGCAGCTGCGTTCCGAATTGATGAGTACTTGGGTGCTGTGGGCATGTGGCCAGGATTGAAATAAACCCAACCCAAGGAAAACTGTTACGGTACCCTTCATTCCGTGATACCATTTTTTCCTATCATCTCGCAAATCTCAGTTTTGGACGAGACTGATTTTACGACCAAAATTATACTATTTAAACTTTGTAGTCAATTTTGACAATAGAATCAATGCCTCATATGCCGTTTTCAAAACGAGAAATTGCTTTTTAGGGGCAGTCGCTCTTTAATAAGCAGACCGATAAGCAGACCGCCTGCCTTCCTGCCTTTGGGACAGAAACTCCCATTGTTAGGGTGGATACAAGACCATCTTGTCATTGTATACAGTATCTCTGCTGTTAGCCAGACTCCCTAGCTCTATAGACCTCATTTGGGCACAATAAGTTGCAATTTACCAACAAGTCAATGGGCGCATTCAAGCAGATCACTTTTGTCAAGTCCATCATTGGTCACCATCTTTCAAAGTGTGTTGCATTATGGTTTTAAAACCAACTTGTGACTACACGTCGACTGCATGAACTTTACAAAAAATAATGTGATCAAAGGTCATGCAGGTTTTTATGAAGTCACCTTCAACTCACTGCAGTTGCTTCTCACCAACTGCACCATTCAGCCATCACCTGCATTGTGGGAGGCAATATTTGTCAACCAATCATTAGGGTGTTTTTGTTTGACCCACAGGAACATGAATAAAGATGTGACTGGAACAGGAACCAACTTTGCCGCGATTCTAAATCTACAGGGTACAAATGAAAGAGATATTTGAGACCTTTCTCTAACCAATTAATTGTACACAAGTTATATTTTCAGTTTGTGAGTGTGCGATGTGGGGGTATAGAACAGGGAATGTGCTACAATTTTGTAGGAAACAGGTGGTTGCACTAGATAACACAGCCACAAAGTTAGATCCACAGCTACAAAGTCAAACATGGTTAAAATAAATAGCGTTTTGGTCTTAATTTAAGGTTAGGCTTAGGCATAAGTTTAGCAGTTTGGTTAAGGTTAGGTTTAAAATCTAATTTTAAGAAGATAAACTGTAGAAATGGGCAGGGTTTAGCCATAATTATTTATTATTTATTTTATAATTATGACTTTGTGGCTGTGCATCATCATGATGATATGGCCGGTGACACTTTGGTTCTTGAAAGTCCACTTTCTTGAAAATCTGACTACCGTATCGACAGTGGACTAATGGAAAAAATATCAAAAGACAGTTTTGGAGTGGATTTTCCCTTTAACTAGTGAAGGCCCAGGTGGAGGTGCATTGCATTCAGTTTCCTACCTGCAATCAATCAGAGTACACAAACAATTAATTCAAACGGACCAATAAGCTCATGGTTCCAAGTCACATGATTAAAGTAATTCACTTCTATTAAGCTTTCACCTGTGTATCTTTTGGCCTTTTAGTCTAAGATTACAAGGAATATTCTCGGCTACGAGTGAAAAGTAGCCTAACTACAACATACCCTGAACTTCAATATTTGGAATTTCCTCTTGCCTTCCCCCCTCGTTGTCCACAATCAGTGTCTCGTGGGCCACACCTGTATATATCCAACATCATTCTCATGCTCAAAAAGCTGCTTCTCTTCCTCGAGGCCATGGCCAGTCTAAATGAGTCAAGTGCGCGGTTTTACTCCTACAACAAGATGTACAGTTATGATACGCGACTCCAGAGCTTTGCCGATTGGCCTTTTCGTGAGGAATGTCAATGCACACCTGAAATGGTAAGATTAAGAAACCACCATTCAGTATCACACAATGTTTCCTGTCAGCGAGGACGCTGGGGTCACCTGTAGCTCTCAAACCCTTCTCCGTTTGTACAGTGTCCAGCAGTTAAATTTGCCCACTGTTGCCTCAGTGTGAACTACAATTCCGATGCCGTCTTTTAATGTTTAGAAATATGAGTCATTGCTTTCAAACCGGTTTTCAAAACATTTGCTGATATGCCCCTTTCACATCAGTGAAAAATAATATTTCAAATTAAGATAAACTTCCTGTAGAAATGTTGCACAGATCCACAAGCCGTGTGCTTCCCGTTGACAAACTACACTTTCTCCCCAGTTAAGATTACAAACCGGTGTTCGGAGCACGCTAGATGGCTAATTAGCAAAGGTGGCCACCTATGTCTTCTGTAAATAAGCAATGTAACATGGAGATATGGCCTTGTGGGAACACTAACCCTATAAAGGCGTGTAGTAATATAACTTAATTTTTTTCTGATGTTTCCAAAACCGTACCACAAGCGATGAGTGTACATTTTAGAGCAAGCGTCGGGGCTCTTACCAGAAGTCCCTCTGTCAGAAGATACTATCGTCAATTGGCGCTAAAGACTGGGGTAGGGTCACCTGATACCTTATATTTCAATTACTGTCATTCTGACTGGGAAATGAAGGGCAGGGAGAGTAGAGGCCATATAATGTAGGTATTGTTTGTGTAGGGCAATAATCATATATATATTTTAACAGGCTGATTCATGTCTGACTACTACATAGATAACACCCTGACCCTCTCCAATAAGTTCCTGATTGTACAGGTTGTTTATGATCCAACAAGCTACTCATGATGACCCTAGCTCCGAATTGTAACTAGGATCTGTCTTGGGCAATTCTGTCACACATAGAATTGCCCAAGACAGATCCTAGTTACGATTTGGAGCTATGACGACCCAATATTTTCTGTAATAGGCAGACTTCTCCATAGGATGATATTTATGTTGGACTTTAAAGCTGTTGCATGTTAAGACTATTGCGTAAAATGCTGTGATTGCATTTGAGCCCTTCCTGGCTGTCCAGGGTACGGATAGATTTGGCCAATGTGACATGTGGAGATTTACTGTTAAGCAGGTGCTAGATGTTCTCAGCTGGTAAAGCACGGCGCTTGTAACGCCAAGGTAGTGGGTTCGATCCCCGGGACCACCCATACACAAAAATGTATGCACGCATGACTGTAAGTCGCTTTGGATAAAAGCGTCTGCTAAATGGCTTATTATTATTATTATTATTATTATTATGTTTTGTTTTGTCTGCATTTTCTTCAGTCCTCCCTTGACCCCCTACCCCTCCCTCTGCTTCTGGTGATGAACGGTGTGGTGACAGCTCCCTGCCACGTTGCTTAACCCTCAAACAGCCACACAACCAACCTAGACTCGGGGGTAGACGTAAACATTTAGTATGATATGTTACTTTTCAGTTTGGTATGTATTAATTTGTGGATGTCAGTTATCCATTTCGTATGATATGAATTAAATTTCGTATGATATGTTACGAATTCCAATTTGTTGCTGAAGTTAGCTAGGTGCAGGGCTCTAAAGTTCGACCAGTTTGGTGGCATATGAGACAAAATAGTTTGCTGTGCGACCAGGAATTGTATTTTGTGAGCACTGTGCAACTAAATATAATCTTCCAGATAATAGTTGTAATAAGTCATCACAAACCTCATGTATTTAAAGAGACAGTGTACCATTTATGTAATACATCTCAATAGGATATTAATGCTTTTACACAATGTAGAAACCTAATATTTCACAAATGACTTTGTAATTTCAATGACAGGTATTCGTAACAACATTTTAGCTTTTATAATAAACTAATGTATTTACAGTGTTACATACATTTCTAAGGGCACAGCATGTGCTTCAGAAGTAGCTATAATTCAGATAGGCCCTGTGTGTGTGTGTACACACATATATCAACTTAGCTAACATTAGTGTTAGCCACCTAGCCAGGGCTCAAAATGAACATTTTTCACCCAAAAATATATTAATTTTTTTGGGATGCTCTTAAATTTCATGTGGCGCGCCTGACTTTTTAAAGTTGGGAGCATCAATGCTATCAATGAAAAATGTTCATTTTGAGCCCTGGCTAGGTGGCTAACACAAATGTTAGCTAAGTTGCTAACGTTAGCTAGCCTAGGGGTTAGGCTTAAGGTTAGGGGAAGGTTTAGCTAAGTAGCTAAAAAGTAGTTGTTCAAATGCTAAAGTTGTCTGTAATTGAGATTCGAACACACAACCTTTGGGTTGCTAGATGTTTGCGTTATACACCCATCCATCCACCCCGGTCAACCACCCTCCTTTTAGTTTTTTGCCTTGAGTGACCTTTTGTCTTTATGTAACCATAGCAAATGTAACATATCATACTTTGTTGCGTCTAGTCTGAGACCAGGCTGACACATTACATTTACATTATTTAGCAGACGCTCTTATCCAGAGCGACTTACAGGAGCAATTAGGGTTAAGTGCCTTGCTCAAGGGCACATCGACAGATTTTTCACCTAGTTGGCTCGGGGATTAGAACCAGCGACCTTTCGGTTACTGGCACAACGCTCTTAACCACTAAGCTACCTGCCGCCCCACAACATGGTGTAGGCCCCTACTCTGTTACTACATTACTTAACCCTGAAACAGCCACACCACTGCCCCAGTGAGACTGTGACTTAACAGTGTGTTAAAGGTTGACGCTCCTTCTGAACATGTCTATTTGAACTGTATAGAACTGTCTATTTGCAGATGGCGACGGCAGGGTTTGTCCACTGCCCCAGTGTGAACGAGCCTGATGTGGCCTGCTGCTTCTTCTGTCTCAGAGAGCTGGAGGGCTGGGAACCTGAGGACAACCCCTGGTAAATTTGGTCCTTACACTAGAACTATGACCCAGAGTTATTACTGGTCAGAGAAAAAGCTCTGTGCCCGAACTGTATAAGAAACCATCAAGTATTCCTCACCCTTCACATTGGATTCAATACCATTATTGTTCAGTGGAAACGTTGTACCTTTTGGACATTTTGTATTATCAGCAAAGCTTTTCCGTTGTCGTCATAAGTCTTTAATTACCTATATGTCTGTCTCTGTTGTCTGTAGGTTTGAGCATATCAAACGGTCTCCTAACTGTGGCTTCCTGGCCATGAAGAAAGACTTTTGTGAGCTGACTGTGGCGGAGTTCTACCATCTGGAGCAGGAGAGACTGTGTATCTACAGTGTATGTCACCAACTATATATATTATTTATGTTATTGTTCCCAATGGGAAAATGTGTCTTGGACACGCCGTACTGCTGTATAAAGAATAAACATGATATTGTCGATGCCATACACATAATATACAGGTAACTGCCCAAATAATAGAAACACCTGAGTAAATGAGGGATACAATTATATTGAAAGTAAGCGCTTCCACACAGGTGTGGTTCCTGAGTTAATTAAGCAAGTAACATCCCATCATGCTTAGGGTCATGTATAGAAATGCTGGGCAGGCCATTATTTTGGCTACCATGGCCATGCCCCCATCCACAGGACATGTGGTCACTGAATGGTTTGAGGATGAAAATGATGTTAACCATATACCATGGCTGTCTCAGTAACCAGATCTCAACCCTAATTGAACGCTTATGGGAGATTCTGGAGCTGCACCCGAGATTGCGTTATCCACCATCAACAAAACACCAAAATATGGAATTTATCGTGGAAGAATGGTGTCGCATCCCTCTGATAGAGTTCCAGACACTCTATATGCCAAGGTGCATTGAAGCTGTTCTTGCTCGTGATGGCCCCACTATTAAGTCACTTTATGTTGGTGTTTCCTTTATTTTGGCAGTTACCTGTACATCTCATACAAGGCAAATGCATGATAGAGTACATTGCACATTGCCCCTGGATGTTCTGCTGTGTAGACTCATCCCTTCACTGAAAGTTGTGCTTTTGAGTTTCTTTAAGTTTAAGCGCTATATTTGATACTTGCTGTAGGGTTGCGGTCATTTTCAGTTTACTTCTGTAGGCCTAAGCTATGCATTACTTGTAGTTTGCCTGTGCCAATAGCATGTAATTTCTACTGTTGTAGAGGAAGACTATCCATCTGAAGATCGCCAACTTTCGAGATGAGGTGGAGAAAACGGTTCATTACATGAGGACGCTGTTTGATTAGGCATCTTTAATGTAGTTCTATATTTTAGCCTTTAGTGTGTTTTTCTGTAAATATTTTTCTGAATTAATAAAGCTTTTCTATTTTCTACCGTGTTAGCGTTTTAGTACTATTTGAATGCAGAATTGCATTTTACCACAAGGTGGTGCCTTCACACTGGTTGTATGTAGCCCTGTTTTCGAGTGGTGGGAAAAAGTACCCAATTGTCATACTTAAGTAAAAGTACTTTAGTCATTTTCTATTAAGGTATCTTTACTTTTACTCAAGTATTTTACACCACTGCTGTTTTCCAACATTGTCACAGACATGTAGGTTACCATAGCTCAGCTTCTCTAGCCCACATTCACAAAAGCGTCTTGAGTTGGCGTGGTGATCTAGGATCAGATTTGCCTTTTCGATAATAATGAATAAGATTGTCTGGACAGCGTCGATCTGATCCTTTATCCGCATTGCTACTCTGAGATCACCTTCTGGACCCTAACGCCCCAGGGGCAATAATACAAGAAGGCACACATTGAGCAGCCAACAGAATAACATTGTGGGTTATTTTTTCCTATTTTTCTCCCCCAAAGTACTTGCCGTTGAGTTTTCCTGAATGTGACACCGCCACCGTTTCTGCCACCTCTTTTCAAACCTTGACCCTGGACAGATGGCCCCAAGCCCCTCCCTCTCAACGCCAACTGTTGCTCTAGTAACATCTGTCACTTATAGGGGTGCGTTCAGCAGGGTGAGGGGTGTCCGTGTCACTCACATAGGGTTGTGCTGAGCCACAGGACACGAAGAGTGTGCACAGGGACGCTTAGGTGCTCCTGGAGAGGAAAGTTGAATCGGCAGTTGGTTGTCACGGCAGCAGCATAGTATAGATGCTGTAGGTGTGACTGTAGTGTGTGTGTAGGGGGAGGAGGGTATTAGAGATGCTGTCCCACTGCCTTTCTGTAGTGGATTAAAGTCTAATGCAACACAGCCACTGAGCTCCGATCAGCTGCTTAATACCGCTTTATCCAGTTGGTACATTTTTTTTTTCTCCATGTGATCTCACAATATAGTGGAACTTGTCTCTGTATTAGCCTACATTTGAAACACTTTTGAAAAGTCCCAAGCCCTAACAGAACAATACTTTGTCAGTGATGGCCTAATATTAATTATCTGCAGCCACGCACGTTTTGTGTAGTACAATGTCATAACCTGTAGGACTACTAGCCTAATAAAATGGAGCATACCCTACAGTTAAAACAGCTGCAACCTCTAATAATAGACCGGCATATTTGTTTTGATTTGTGTTGGCAAAATATAGCCTATTTGCCCAGTAGCATTTCTAATTATCTGCTGAATTACTAGAGTACTTTTAGCACCACAGAGAACCTCCGATTCATCCAGAGATGTACTACTGTTGCACCGCACCCCCTCTCCGAATAATCGATGCCCTCCACCTCTCAGTGGATTTTAGGAACAATCCATCGCGTGCTCAATAGGCCTTGAAATCACCGTTTATGTGCTTCGAGTGCAAGAACAATGGCGACATACGACCCTTCCTGCGAGACCAACGGCACTTCTGGCGCTTTTAGCAGATCGAATATACACGAGTTAAATGTGCAGAATTAAGAAAAACGACCACCTAGGGGCGTGCTTAAAACTGTAGGAGTTTCATACCGACAAAGTTATAGAAATCTGCATTCAAAACGTATTTTACTTATATAGATTTGAAATAAATGTATTTATTCTGTTTATATGTGTGAGCCTTGTACAGGGCCAACTGCGGGTCGATGAGATGACAGGGCAGATAAAGCAGAGTCTGGCAAGCAGACAACAGTCACTTGTCTCAAACCGTTTAAAGGGATTAGTTTGCACTGGGGAAGTTCGTCACGCCCCCCCCCCCATAACAATAATAATCCAGTGAACAATATAATGCGTATAACAAATATTTATTCTGGATTTATTATAATCCAATTATGACTTTTTTTGTTTGTTGCAAAACGTAATCCCTGTCGCACAGGACGTTGATGGCACCTTAATTGGGGAGGACGGGTTATCAGTAATGGCTGAGGCAATTTCATGAGCCATCCTCTCCTCAGTATCCTCCTGTGCGTCCAGGCCTAAAGGCCTACTGAAATATCCTTATTTGAACCCACTAAAATTAGTAGTCTAGTCTTTCAGATCATTGAATTGTCAAAACAAACTTTTCTGAGGCCTGCATGTAGGGTGAGAATAAATTGAATCATTCTAAATTAGAGAATGTTTCAATGGTTCCTTCGGGGACTCCTATAAATAATGAAATTATACCAATTCCCCCAAACTGTCTTACAAAATCCCTTTCTGCCCTCCTGGTCGCACAAAATCTCCAAACACCTGATTTATTTTTAATGTTATTATACCCTCTGTCGGCTATATCATGGTAATCATCAACTGCATGTCCCAAATGGCACCCTAATCCCTATATAGTGCACTAGCACTTACCAGAGCCCTGGTCAAAAGTAGTGCACTACATGGGGAATAGGGTCCCATTTGGGATACCGAGACTTCTCCATGCAGCTGCCTCTAGATCACATTAGCCAAGCTTAATATTGACTGTGTATGCCAAGGTGCTGGGGCGAACTAAATAATGAGATGAGGGGACCGGGATCTTAGAGGGCTATGGAAGCACAGGCCCAAACAATAGTTAGACTGCCGGGATGTAGAGGAGGTGTTAAACCCACTATGCTGAAGTTCCTTATCAGGAGGATCAGTCCTCCATCATTACCTGCTGGGCACAGAAGTCGGTTCAATGTCTAGTTTTGATTTACATTGGTTGAGTTGTAAATTAATATAAATTCAACGTGAAAAAAAATAATCACCATGTCATTGGATTTAGGTTAAAAGTTGGGGGGGGGGGGGGGGGGGGGGGGGGGAGACAACGTTGATTCAACCAGTTTTTGCCCAGTGGTTAAGCTTCTCATTCCTAGGCCTGTACATCTTTACCCACTCAGAAAGCTTCCCTCCAGACATTTTTGTCAGACTCCCCAACATCAAAACTCAGATTGACTATTCATGTCCTGAGGACTTCGGGGAAATGCCTTCAAAACCGCCCATTAGGGGCAACAGTGAGTGCTATTACCATCAAGTAGGTGTTGTGGAGGGGTGTACTCCCATGACTGGGTCAGAAGGTTGTGTGTTTGATCCCAGTCGTTGGACACTTTATTTTATTTTTTACCCTATCCATTTTACATTTACATTTTAGTCATTTAGCAGACGCTCTTATCCAGAGCGACTTACAGTTAGTGAGTGCATACATTATATAATTTTTTATTTTGCATACTGGCCCCCCGTGGGAATCGAACCCACAACCCTGGCGTTACCAACTGAGCTACATCCCTGCCGGCCATTCCCTCCCCTACCCTGGACGACGCTGGGCCAAGTGTGTGCCGCCCCATGGGTCTCCCGGTCACGGCCGGCTACGACAGAGCCTGGATTCGAACCAGGATCTAGTGGCACAGCTAGCACTGCAATGCAGTGCCTTAGACCACTGCCTTAACCCTTAACCATTTGGAATAAGTACCTAAACTTAACCCTTAACTTGATGTTTGGATAAATGGAACGATACAGAGGAGCAGGAGCAACAAAAACACTTCGAAATGTGATGTTTGGAGCAACTTCGAAATGTGCAGTTTGGAGAACGTGGATGAACGTCTATTTCTGCAGTGAGACCGAGAGCTTGTTGCAGCAACCAGCACGCGAAGCGCTGCTTCTCTTTTATGAATTGAACACACAATCACTTCTAGTTTTTACATTAGTTTAGACACTCTACAGCTGTATTTTGTGGCCATCAATAGTGGGCCAGTCCTCTTAGAAAGGGGGGAAAAAGTGCTGAAGATGGGTACTCTACATGAGTGTGATTGGGATGAGACAAACCCAATCTATTGTAGTAATTTTGTGAGGACAGAATGCCTAATTCATCAGACCGATACAAAAATTGTTGAAAATCCACAGAAAGTAAAACCTTTATCTCAATTTCTTTCGCCGTAATGACCTTACTAACCACGTTTTTATGCAAGTAAAGTCATGCCAAAAAAAATACAAAATAATACAAAATCATGATCGCGGGAAGTTTTGGTAAATTTTGTAAATGCTGACAGGTAATTAATTGGTCGTTTGATATGGTGGGCTCTCATTGTGTAGGTAAAATGACTTCTGCGAGAGATGGCAGCGGAGACGTTGTGATATGGTGTGGTCGATTTGGGAAACCATGCAGTTTTAGGCTATTGATTAAATACATGATGATGAACTTCACAGGGTGGTGAAAGTGAACGGTGATCTTGATGCTCCTTTCCAATAAATATCGAGGGTCTTATTCTGGTGACATGATGATCGATGCTTGACTGCCGTTTGACTAATACAAATATTCTCGCCCTTATCCATAATAATCTCATGTAGACTAGCCCATTGGTTCCCAACCAGGGGTACTAGGACCCCTGGGGGTACTTGGCCTATCCACAGGGGGTACTTGAGAAGACTCATGAGACCATAGGCTTACTGGTAAAATGCACATGAGGGGATACTTCAGGGGTACTCCGGGCAGAGCGAAATTCAGTGTGTGGTACAGTAACTGAAAAAGGTTGGGAACCACCGGACTAGCCTACCCGCACTGTATCTGCAAGCTATTTGCTTGAGCGCGCGTGCCAAAACCAGAGTAATACCAGGTGCTAGTAGGAACTAGGAAACTCTGACATTTACGACTTGCTAACTGGTTGCAGTTATACACGTGCCACGTTCAATGAATCAGCAAGTCGGAAATGTCCTAGTTCCGACTTGCATGTGAACGCGGAATAAGCACATTTGCTATTTAACGCAACAGTTGTGACAACTATAGGTAAAGTTTCCTTTATGCAGATGTTTTAATATTCACATGAAAATCTGTCACCAATTGGAAGGAAACCTAGCTATTGTTCCTATTTTCACATTAATACATTCACAATACTTTTGTTATGTATAAATGTAATCCATGTTTTTACACAATAAAATGATCAAAT